GATTTTAACTGCTGAATAATTCTGCTGAAGGAACCATAAATTTAATCAGAAATTACGTATTTTACGTTGATAACTTCAAATTTGGACAAAACAATAATCCAATGCAAAGGTTATCCGAGTTTCTATGCATTTTTATCATATGTTGATATAAGATTTCATATTTACATCGTGAAATCAAAAATAAGTCGCTTATATGTAATAAAAAATAAAGCTTACGTCATTGATACTACATAATATTATTGTTATAAAGAAATTCCAAAATATATCGTTTTATTGTTTTGTTATGTTTAATAAAAATAATATATTTTCATGACTGCTATCCCATATGAGATAGTAAGAGCAATAGTCATATTCTTGAACGAGTGCTGTTGCCGTTTAAGAATACTGATTAGACTTTGACAAAATTACTATAGCATGTGCTGGTTAGTCACTCTATTCTTCCAAATTTGAAAATGAATCTGTGTTATTGTCAACATGTACCTTCAAACATATTTGAAAAGAATATGAGATGACTTTCTTGTCAGTTCTTTTCTTGTCCTTATCATTCCGAAGTAACGGTAGATTTGACATATAATAAGAGTTTTTAATAGACCTACATGAATAAATATATTTTGATATCATTTGATTTGAATTCCATCAGTCGACTTCGAAGTGAGCGATTGGGACATATTTTGCGGGATATATTTGAATCTAATTTAGCGGCGAGCCTGCTGTTGTCTCTCTAATTAATATCTATGATTCGTTACTGATAGTTAATTTTTAAATTTTCGCATTTAGTACCCATTATTCATATAGTTTGTCGAGTACTAACACGGATCATGTTTTATATTAAATGAGTTATATGCGTTTCAACTTGGTTAAAATATTCGTGATTAAAAGCTGATTGCAGTACAGCGACTACAATGTCGATAAGTGTCAGCAGTTTGTTTATTTACACAAAACCCCATAATATTCATACAGTTATTGACCGATGGTTACTAGCTCCGTTTATCTTCTTTACCATAGTTTAAATAGAGCCAATAATCTATATTCATTAATATAGATTACGTGATATGTTAAGGGCCCCCCCTTGGTCAAATCTCATCTAATCTTACTTTGGAGTCTCGACAAATATCACGCATTTTTTCCGATTGAAACAAAAATAAATTATACTATTTTGGTCCATTTAATCCACATTGTACATGCTTATTACCCTTACAACTCTCAGCAATATTGATTACTAGTCTTAACTAGTCGTAAATAAAAGTACGAAGCAAATTTTAAACAGAAAATTAAAAAAGAACACCTCACGTAATTTATGATTTTAGTTGAAGGGCCACAATCATACCCTGAGATACTTCAAAGTTACTAAAAATTTCATACACATTATATGTCACTGCTCACTCAGTAACACAAATCTTATTGAAGTATCAAAAATAAAGACCTTGTAATTTATCTGGACACTACAGTTCATGTGGATACATTGATAAAATAGTAAATAAAACATATTAAATTATCGCTAATTATTCTTAACTTTGTACTTAAGAGTAACTCCTTTATTTTTGCTAAAATGTCTTATCTTATTAAATCTATCTGCCGTCCATAAGTCAGACGCGGTTCTTATCTGAAATTTATACTAAAAGAATTACAAATGTCAAGAATAATTCGATTTTTAGATACTCCGTATTGAAGTGTTATCAACATATTAATTAATTAGTTATTGAACCGAAACACAGATACCTACATACCGTTATAATAATTTGCACTCTTCTATACTAACTAAACCTATCTTATATAACTATATAAAATTCTCGTGTTACAATGTTAACTAACATACCATACTCCTCCGAATCGGCTTGACCGATTTTTACGAAATTTTATATGCATATACAGTAGGTCTGAGAATCAGATACTATCTATTTATCATACCCCTAAGTGATAAGGGTTCTCCACAACTAAACATTGTTTTTATTTTTTTTCACATAATATTATATATATTATAATGTGTGACAAAATTATTTAAAAAATTATATATTTTTATTTTGATTTAGCATTGAAAAATACCTACAATTAACCCTAAATTTTCGCTCTTCTAGCATCAATCCTAATTTTTTAATAGCGATTTTAATTTAAATCACAACACAACGTTTGCGGGGTCAGCTAGGTAATATTATAAATATTATGGTTGGTAGTATTTGTATATAAGTATTTGGATCTACAATACAATATACTTTGTTCCTGTAGTTAATTTTGTTTCACCTAATTCCAAATACAAAATAAAAAAAACATATCTCAGATAATGAATAGGTACCTATTTCTAAATCATCCTGGTAAATTCCTGATTTATTCGCCTCGATAGGCTAATTAACCAGACTTCATGTGGATCCTACCATCCATATATCATTAGCGTAGGCGGTTGCACCATTTCCTACTTACCCATTAAAATATATATTGAAAAGTAAATTTAAATATATGCTGCTGAATAAAATATCTATATATAAAAGCTGCATTATACTTCTTCTATATTGGTCATTTTGTTCCATATTTGATTCACACTGCACATTGATGTTAATCGATCAACTGTGCAGTTCCACGCAACGTAATCCTAGTGGTTAAAGTATGAAGAGGAAACTTGTAATTTAGTTGGAGTTATTTGTATTGAAGCTTAGCCGTTTGGTTTAAACTCCAGTTATACTTACACCAGTCTCTATTACGACCTACATACGACACTAAACTTGAGGGAAGGCAATATTCCTGGATCGTTCCCTAGTTCGTCTCCTGTATAGCGAATACAGGGCCGTTTTTCATACTAACTATAATTGATCTAATTTCCGATATTATATCTTATTTATTATTTCTTTCTCCGAGACTATCTTTTTTAATATTGGTAACTCTAGTTTTGAAACTGCTCTACATTACAGTATGTAGATGTTCAATATGTAATGTATAGATGGGATCGATATCGATAGCTTAGTAGTAATGTGGACTTAGTCCACATTACTACTAAGTTATTGCTCCATTGCCAAAACTATACTATGTCAGGTTGCCTTCACACGATCACACCTGTTAAATTCCCCACTATGGTCTATCTAACCATCCTATCCTATCGTCCTCCACTGTAATACTGTTCTATTATTATTTTAATTTACTTATTATATTCCATAGAAAAACATCGTTTATTTTTTATGTCATTGAACTAATAATAAACTGACAGCCCACCTGGTAGTGAGCGGTAACCATCACTTATATACATAAACAGCGCTACGGACATATAACATAACATCCGCAATACCACTTATGCAAAGCTATTTGAGAGAACTAAGGTTTTATTTCTTATCCTGTAATTTTACTGCCCAATCTCCACCGTACAACTGAACATAGCTTACAAACAGAGCGGCGGCAGCTGAAATAGCTCACTTATTTCAGCTGCCGCCGCTCTGGTACTGAGGTACCCATATAGAGAACTCCTTATAGACTTCACACAGACAAACTCTTCTGATTATCTAACACTGGATCTTTGCTAATGACCCATAGACGCTTCGTTCTGCTGATTCGCTTGATACTGTCAAACAATATTGTTTGCTCTAAATACCATTAGTATTAATCACCTGATAATAAGTTTTACGTAAATTCAATGCAGTATTTTCTACTGATAAATCATTATCATATAATCGCTTATCACTGATATACCGATACATTTTATAACTGCCGTTAAGTAGAGGTGGAACCGGTGCCTTACCTTTCGATGGTCGCGGGTTCGATTCCATAAAACTTTTGTGTTTATGAGTAAGTACGTTTATTTTTTTTATTCGTGTATCTGTTATAGGTAATATACACAAAAATAGTATATATCTACTGTTCTAAAATATATTTTTTTACAAATTCTGCTTAACTTAAGAGTAGATGACGCTGTGTTAATGTCCAGTTATATTTGTTTATTATTTATATATCTAGGCATCTATGGTTGGTATATTTTATATGAATAACATTGTCATTTCCGTTTGAAGGATCATAAAATAAATATGAAGTCCCATTCACCAGGAAATAGACACGATGGTTTTTAGAGGGTATCGCGTGGAGGTCGATCTGACATAATACCTACATTGCTAATAATTGTGCTATTACTTCCCATTATAACCCTATACCTACCCTTCCCCGCCTATTGTCAAGTGAAATTGAAATACCGCAATAAAACAATAAATGAAGTAAACTCAACCCAAATAGTACCGACCGTCACCCATATTTAGAACTGGTCACCCATCCACATATATAAAATATATCCAAATTTATTTTTATATTTACAGTACCTAATGTCATATCAAATATTATATAATCTATTAATTTTCGGCTGCTTTTTTGCATTTAATTACGGATATGAGCACTAATTTTAATGATAATAGCTTTGCAAGTCGTGTTTACTTTTATACTGGATTCTTAATGATATTGGTATTGTTAAGTCAGTTTTTAGTATTCCAAATAAAACAGTTTTAAAGTAACTATTGTGGATTCAATTTTTATGTACAAAATAACGCTAGTTCAATAATTCAAATGCTATCCATTTAAATTTTGAAACAGTTTTAGATATACAGTTAACTGTATCAGTATCGCTACTAAAAAATCATATTAAAATTATAATAATTTTAATTTTCTACGCACAATGGTTCAAAATGGCCGCAATTTGTAAATAAGCATTTCATACTAATTAAATTTAATTTATGTCACATAAATACTATTTATTTGCAATTCCAATGCTTTTCTATGATACTTAGTTATCTTCTTTTGATTGAAAATGCTTCTTCGGCTTTTAGGTCAATATTCGTTTGACCTGTTTTATTTTTAAATGAATAAAAATTATTTCTACTATTTTAATTTAACATTTAATTATCTTATTTGCATGGCTGCTAGACATAGCTCAATTGGTCAGACGCGTGTTACCGCGGCCCTTTTGTATGGCCTTGCGGCATTATATATAGATCGCCAGGCAATGTCGCCAACCTTGCCTCAACAATACATCGCCAGCATCGAGCACCGTTTGTCGTCGCATTCGTACAACCAGATACCATCTTATCACACAAAATGGTTCCGCGATTAGGTTATAATCACTTTGCGCACATTAATCTAGTGTATACAAAGTGTAATACAGTTTTCGACGTGGTCTAACTTCGTGGTTCTGGTGCTATTTCTAGAATGTCATCCACGTCGTCTCTTGTTGGCAGAAAATGTTAGTGTATTATTAGTGACGCAGTTATATTTCTTGTGAGCTCTAGCTAATTTTGTTTCATGAAGTTCTTTTAATGGTGTTGTAGGAAGAGATTGTTGTTACTATTAATCACTCAAAAGTCAGTGTAGTGTATTGAGTGTTATAATATAATACACCTAAATCCGATATTATTAGCCTAAAGCAGATTTTCAAACAGAAGAAGAAATTAATTTAATATTCTTATAATTTAATAACGTATCGGGATTTTTAAAAGTAATTTTACGTATTGGAAGTTTTTGCTTGCTCTAAATATTATTCAGTATTCAATATATTTTATGTAGCTTCGCCTTATTAATAATTTTAATACGAGATCATCGCATTTTCTGTTTACTTTTATATTTAACTTTAATATTTTCCGGTAAAAAAGCATTCTGATTCCTTTCCCAACAACAAAAATATTAATTATTTTTAAAATAATTTACATTTTTGGAATAAATTCCTATGTACTTATACCGAGTGTCTTACTATGTTTGCAAATACTAAATAATAGTAATATACCTACATATAAATAATGACAAGTAAACATTATAGTATTTTGTCACTTCTTTTGTAACTTCATTATAAATCCAAATATTTTCCCGATTCTATATCATTATGACAATGTGCAAAAATTCATAATGTGGTATAAATACCCTACTATGTATTTTCTCTAAAAAAAGAAGAAATTATGATTCAATTAAACACGTTTTAGTTTCAAATTTATATACGACCTCGGAGGTATAGCGGTTAAGCATACCGCTTTACTTCCGATAGTTGCGAGTTCGATTCCTCGCCTATCCAAACATTTGTATTCACAAGAAAGATTGTTGGCATCGGTCTGGGTATTTCTATATATATTATCTATGTAATTACAATAAAAATAAGTAAGTATTTATATCAGTTGTCTAGTACCCATTGTACAAGCTCTGCTTACCATAGGACTAGATGGCGCTGTGTTAATTGTCCAGGGTTATTTATTGTTATTATTTGATCCGTGTTGATAGATTTGTCTAAATATTTACCATACTGATACATATAGGCACATAATAAATACAACATAATTCAGTAACTACTGTCAAACAACAAGCAGCAAATTATTGTATCTCATTCATACAATGCGATACCAGTGCATATTACACACTCTTCAACAACGTTTTTATTTCAGTAGTGCTAAACACGTTATTGGAAACAGACCACTACGAGAGTTTGATCAAGGAGTTGACATGTACAAAATGCAAGAAATACATGAAGCCACCTATTAATCTATGTGTAGACGGCCATAGTGTTTGCGGGGCGTGTTTTGAGAAGAGCTACCAATGCCATGTATGCCAGGTCAGTCAGATAAATCCACACAGCACATGTCTCATTCACAATTATAACTGCACGAATATGCTAAAAAAAAACCTCCTCCACCAGACAACACACGATCAATCTAATCTGATGATTATAGATAATGATGGTGCTGTATGTAGCCTTAGCCCTAGTGGAGTGGATGCAAGTAGTGGTGTCCCACTTGCATCCACTCCACTCCATGTCCACTTTCGCATTGTATATCTGCTTTATCAATCATACATTATTATTTCGGATAATAAGGACAATATTTTCTATATATATATATAAATTTAACTTCAGGTTATTATACACATTTTTTTTATCATAAAATGCATTATATTTAGAGATATTCAATGTAAACTATATTTTAGTTTTATTTTACTGTATTTTTTATACACGTCGTGAATAAGAATAAAAATGAATTTTCTATACATGTCCCCATTAATATCTATTTATTTATACTTGAAGCAAAAATTTATACATTTTTTTACGATAATTGTGCGGACGGAGGAGTACGAAATTTCGCGCACTTGTAGTTTATACAGAGAGGGAATGCAGAATGTTAATATTATTTTAAATCTATGTATAAAATACATTAAATCAATAAATAAAACACATACTACCATTATATTGTAGGTCCGACTGATAACAAAACGTCAATGTCAAATAATGTCGATATTGGTAATTGTCAAATTCGCGAATCGAGGTTTGTTTCTGTACTGTTATCAAAGTAATCTATATATATATATATATATATATATATATATATATATATATATATATATCTATATATATATACTGATAATATTAATATTCTTAGAGGTAAATCTGATATAACGCAAGTAGTGAAAAGAAATTGAGATCACTGTGGAAATTTTGACGCGTATATTTTGCAAATGACTGAATCTATAAATGTCCTTAGTTTAGTCTTGCATTTTAATCATTATTTTGAAATATATATTACGTATTACATATATATTACATGCATATGTATATTTTTTATTTACACGTTTATGGAATTCATTGGATATGGTAGGAAGACAGACAGACAAAATGTAGCTAGCCGTCAACTAAAACCTCCATAATATGTGAGAAGTCACATAAAATATATATGTATCACATTGTATATATGATTCTGATATACCATCGTTCCCATAACACAGTAAATGTAACAAGATTTTTTTTTTCAGAAAGAATACTCCCAAATTCGGCCGGCAGTTCTCGAGTCGCTTGCCAATAAGATGCTATTCCCTTGCACTAACAGTGGATGTCCAAAACATGCTACACTCCCTCAACTGGAGCGACACATCTCGCACTGCCAATTCCGCATCATAAACTGTTTTATGGCGAGAGTCTACGGTGAGTTTAATCCATGTGAAATAAATATAACTTATGTTATAATATGTAGGCTCAACTGAAAATCAGCGCTGGAAACTATGTTTCCAGTATTGTGCTGAGTTGTGGTACACGTGACTCTGTTTTCTAATGTAAATTGTTGCTTGTATTTCTTATGTTACACAACAAAGACAAACGAGTCAATAAAATTCTATTCTATTCAAATATCTATTGTTATTATGAACGTAGTTAAAAAAATATTTCACAGTACATTAATACCATTGACCTCATTGATTATTATGAAATTTACAATAATTTATGATACATTTACAAATGCGTAGCAAATTCTACCTGTTACATATTTTTTATATATCATTCTAACTATAAGACGCAACTTCATTACAACTCTTTTAGAGACTAAAGATCTATTTTCACGTTAAATGTCACTAAGATCCGTTCAGTGTTCAGTTGTAGAAACATTACAAACAGACACTTTCCTCTACTAAAATTAGTGTAGATTGCAAAATATGGCAAAAATGTAATATTGTCGCTTGAACTATGTCTTTGGTATAAAACAAAGGCTTTTTTGGACCATAGTTATAATTTGCTTTGAGGAAAACAGAAACTGATTTGAATTTATACTAATTGTTTGATTGACCGCTTCAGTCTATAAGGAACCTAGCTACTAATAGGGATGTAAATTTCACTTATAGTTATCGTGATTCACGTGTATGTTGAGAGTAGGAAAAGAAAATATGTTGGCTCATAAAAATATTTATTGATGCTGTATTGGAAGTTAACAACTGTTTTGAAACATCAAGTCCAGAAGTAATTATCTGATATTTACCATTTTTGAATAAATGGTAAATATCAGTTTTGAAATAAAAAACGATGTAAAAAGAATTTTCATAATAAAAATTTACAACGGAATCCTCCGTCGTAATATAATACCACAAGTACTTTAACTAACTAGTTTCCAAATTATCATGTACAATATGTACACGTCACAGTCACGGCATGAATCAATCAAAAATAAAGTCCAGACTATCGTTTCTCAGGCGAATGCACATGGGAAGGTCGAGCCGGCGAGTGGATGGACCACTGCTTTGCGGAGCATAAGAAAAGGGTCACCGAGTTGCCGTTCATCACCGTCAAAGACAAATGGGATGCCAAAAGAACGGAGCCGGTGCTTAACTATTTCCTATTGAAATGCTACGAAAAAGTATTCAATGTTTATCAGATTTATGATAAACGAGGAGGTATAATTATAATAAAGTAATAACAACTAATCTATTTTCATATATTATATACCTAATATTTTAAGCAGAATTTGTACTGTTGATTTTGAACATCTGTTTTGAATACATTTTATATAAAATAGTTACACAAAAAACACCCAAGCCAATACTAACATTCATAATGAATACAAATATTTTTATAATACAATAATCCAGTCGTAGACCATCAGTAAATATTTAAAAATAATTCCATAGTAAGAAATAATAATCATTTGCTATAAAATAAATAATTAGAAAAGTATTTGTTAATTATTTTTAGATAACCGTATCTAATTTATACGAAAGGATCAGCTGATATTAAGAATCTGCTTTACATAATTATAATAGGATTATCTTTGTAGTTATAATCCACAAATGAAAAATACTAATACCTACATTATTATTACTGTCCAAGAACGGCCAATGAAACTGAACCGGTCATATAAGTAAAATATTCCACTATATAAATACTACTTAAAATATAATTATTGTAAACTAAGTTTTTGATACAAATTATAATACTTAGAGTATTACAATTAATATAAATAATTGCTCATATTTTTAAGTGTAACCGTTATCATTTGTCAACAAGAGTGCAGTCAGTGCTGTTTATCGATACTCTCTATCTATCAGTTATCAAATGGAATAGGCAAAGAGGAACATGTCCATTGGCTTCTATTTTCACAGACAACTCTAATTACATTCACTGTTATAACATCTATTTACACACAATTTCGGGAGATTATTTAACTCTCATCAGAGAGCAAATGATCTGTATACAATATGTACATAATATTATGTCAGTGTAGACCTCTCTTATTACCTACCTCCTTTCACTCTAGCGTTCTGGATACATTTCGTCAATCTCACACTCGAGATTCTTTTCTTTTCCCGTTTCTTAATGTATTATCGATTCCCATGTATATAAAAAAAACGAAAACCAAAGTTACATAAATGATCTGATTTCAGAAATTAATTCATATAAGAGTCTATTTTTGAATTCCGATATGTATGTTACTGGCGTAGATAAACACCATTAACGCAAAACTAACAAACTTCTAATGCATGCTATCGCGTATATGATTACAGAGATTCATGCTATGTTATATTCATATGATAATGGTAAATATCATCCAGAGTTTGCAAGTGAACCGCAAATTAAGTTGAAAATGTCATATTGCTCATACTTGTATTATACGAGTATAATATTATGAAGAATTGATATCCCTTTATTAAAAATGTAACGTAAACATAATTGTGATAAAATTAGGACTATATTACTTTTACATTACTACATTTTTGTACAAAACATAAGAAAATAACACACCAATTTCTATAAATAATAATAGGCTTTGTCACAAAGTGGCACAAAGCGCCATCTAGCCCCAGGCTAACCAGAGCTTGTGTTATGGGTACAAGACCACTAATATAAATACATATATAATTTTCACAGGAAATACGCAGATCAATACAAACAATTATACTCATGATTAAACAAATGTTTGCACAGTGCGTAAAATATAACCCGCGACCATAGAAAACAATTACCGGCTTGTTTTCTATATATTGGTACATAGTGCTCAAATAGAATGGTTGAAATTTCACAATATTTATATCTTTCCGCCTGCATTACATTATATTTTTTACATTACAAGTTCCGTGAAACTCTTATAAGATTAATAATGAATATCTTGCCTTATTTTCTGAGAAAAATTATGTTTTGTTTCCCATAGGTGAGATATATTTGGAAATAAAATAGCAGCCCAATAGGAGTTAAGTCCTATTTATTTACGAAATACATATATTTTTTAAATCTACAAAAAATCCACTATATGATAAAAGGTTTACCGGCACGTAATCCTACGAGACTTTAATATCTCAAGCATAATTTTATAGTTCATATTGATGATAGATAATAATAAAAACCTTATTTTCAGGTAGGATGATGTGGACAGTTCTTGTGAACTACGATCACGCAGAGAAATTCTACTTTGAAATAGATATTTTCTTAACAAACATGCCGAGCAAAAGGATTATTTACAGGCAAGTGTTTACATAATAAACAAACGAAATCTTAATAAGCTCCCGGACGTAAAACCAGAAATGAACCTCCCGAATTTATAGCACGATCTTCCTCTTGTAAATGATATCATATCGCTTACAAAGTTTGCCGAAATTTATATTCATTTCCACAGGGAGTTTTGTAAATTGTTATAATTTTGCAAAAAAAAATATATACCACGTTGCAAGTTGATTATGTGCTTTTTGCATGCTTTTACATAAATGTAGGTTGAAACATTAAAAGTAATTTTTTTATGTTACGTCTTTTTACGGTTCTGAATCGAAAAGTAAAGAGAAAATATCCATTAGACAACATACTTCTTATTGAAGAGCAAATTAATGTACTACAGATTAGTGTTTTATATTTTATATATTATTATACAAAATTAACTAGTATTGTTACATATTCAATTACATTCAGAACAAGATAAGATCGAATGATTGCAATGATAATAAAACGTCTTGACCTAAAAACTCTGGTACTAGTTGAAATATTGACAGAAAAATTAATAAGAAATTTAAACGGATTTTAACACGAATAATTTTATTGTAAATAAATATTTACCTCTCACGACGTTTCGTGTGTCGAACTGCCGGCATGTATTGATATTAACATCGCTGTTACTCTAGTCAGGTCAATGCGACTACGACTAGTACAACCTAGTTGAAACATCGAGAAAGGTAAATAGCTTATTTACCATAATATTATTCCTATTAACGCAAAAGTTTCAAATTAAGAAGTAAACTATAGTTATAATTTAAGTATCAACATAGAGATACCATGTTACAAACATTGCATATGAAATTAAAATCAAATCAGAAAAGTTACAATCTACACCCCGTAAGGTTATTATAAAATTAAATAATAAGGAAAAATACAAATTATTTATGCCAAATACGTGGCTGTAAATAATTTATATCTTTCTAAAGTAACTGTAGAACTTTAATACATAGCAACATAAGAGAAAATTAATACACAACATATAATATACAATTTGAAATTTAATTAAGCTGATAGCGTCTATAATATTTACCTGCCATTTCATTTCAGACGTCCATGCAAATGTGAAAAAGACGCAGATTTTCTAGTGCATACTCAAAACATTTACATTCCAGTAGAAAATGTTTTCTCTATGCTGGACGAAGACGAGTGTATGAACTTTACTGTCAGGATTGGTGAGTATTTTATTTATATATGTACTTTTAATACTAAACAAGCTGATTCTCCATCTGATGGTAAGTGGTATTTAAAATACACATTACAAATGCACGAGATGCCATTCTTGCTTTATTACATAATTTATATGAATGTAAAGTAAGGTATATTTTCTAAGTTTAAGCACATGTGTAAGAGCAACCCAGCATCCGGACAACTATAATTAATTGCTTGAAAAATTCTTCCACCTTTACTAATCCCGAACCAACGGATAAATTTGATATAATATAAGCAAAATGTAAATATGAAATGATATTCTACAGTTTCTTGACATTTTTCTTAATACTGTAATATACAAAGTATTATACAATGCTTTGTTCGCATCATAATATTAGAAAACAGTATCCAAACCATGTCAAATACATGAATGAAATTTTACAGCTGGTTTTCTTTCAATTTGTAAATTCTGAAAAGTGTACTTGGTACCACAGATTAATTAATGGTTTTAATTATATATCTTAATAAATTTCTTTTTTTTGTTTTCAGGAGAGGTTGAAAATTTAGAGCTGCTTGAAACACCAACGGAAAGTGAAAGCATGATTTTGCTGAACAGTAATGAAAACGAAAATGAGACTTCATAAATGATTAAAATGTATTACGAAGAGTTAATTGAGAAAAGAGAATATTTTTTACTTAATAATTATGAATACTTACTAATTTTGTATACACCAATTAATATAAATAATCATTCACCACACTATCATCACCACACTGTACTTTCGATGCATTGCCGGATTTATACAAGATACAGTGTCTGCATACATTCATCTGGATTCGTCAATCTCTTGTGTGGACTGTGACGTCATGATGCCATATTATAACCTCCTTATATTGCACATGTATTTTTTTGTCCCCACCGGTTATTTGAACTGCTTTTTCATGTAACTGGAATAGCAAACAAGCTGACGGTCCTCCTGATAGTATGTAGCAACTGTCCCTAATATACATAAACATATCATGACGATATCCTTTTTAGTTCTGCACAATATTTTATATTACGTTACAAAGACAAAGGACGAAGTCCCTTTTTTCTTTGTCTTTGAATATTGTAACTTAAATTTATCAACAAAACCATGGTCACTGTTTAACTTATAAACAAATTGAGGTATTATTATTATTAATTATTTTATCACTATTTTTGTTATTTATCTATTTAGAGATATTATGTAACGGTTTTGATAAGAAATGCAATCGTACAGTCTGTGAATGCCTGTAATATAATTGTGTTATACTTCTAATAAAGATATATTTATTTAAAATTGTGTCTATTGTATTATTTTTTGTGTAATAATACAACTATCTAATCTAGATTAAAACTGTATTTAAGAAATTTCTTTACTTATTTAAATGCAATTATTTTTAAATTTATTTTCTCAATTCGTTCATGAAACTACTATAATTATATATAATAGAAGTAGACTACTAACTTCAAACAAAATGACACTACGTATTATAAAAGTAAAGACAGACTTTATAAGAGGAAAACCAAAATTTACCCTATTGTTTTAAGAAAGTAGAACACAGTTCATGTTCTACGGTATTAACAATAATATGGTATAATCTGTTTTTTTCTCTATTAATGCCATAAAAATTACTCAATATGTAAGAGACTGAAATGTACATGTAAGTATATCATGGCGATAAATGGTTATGAGGTTGGTTGAATTATTATTTGTTAGAAAATATACCATGTGTACGCCTGAGATTTCAGGCAATGAAGTAGCTTTTGGATGCTCCGATGGTTTTCTATAGTTCTTCAACACGTACTAGCGGCCAGGTGATATTTTCACTTTCTTGCACTGCTTAGATACTTAATTTATATATATAATTTATTTTTAACTGGGGAACGAGTACCAGGAACAGTACGAGTACGAGCCAAGGTTGGGTTTTTCAATTACCATGGTCAAGCCCTCCTCGTCCATGAAAATTATACAGAAAAAAAATGTACGAAACTATTAACATTATTGTGTAATTGTATGTGTATTATGTACCTATATACCAAATTGACTACCTAAACTCTGAATATCTACAGAAAACATCTTAATAATGAGAAAAAGCATTTATTATTGTCTAAAGTTAGTTTCTAAATCGATGCCTATAAAGATACCGAGAAAGTAACTAAAACATTAAATAAAAAATGGCTTCCGTGACTTCATTAAGCAGTAGGTAAGTTTGATATAAGTTATTTACCATTTGAGCTTCTAATAAATTAATCGAGCGAATATATGTATAGCGAATTTATTTTACTTATAAGTAAATAATTATGTACTTAATATCCCTAATAATATTATAAATGTGAAAGTAGGGATGATTACGTTACGTACGTTACGTTAGTTAATTATGCTTTCGAGCAAAAACTACTGAACCGATCATCATAAATTTTGTACACATGTTCTTGGAGGTATTAGAATTAACATAGGATACTTTTTATTAAAAAAAAACATATATTGCGACAATGTGACTGCAGGCGCGAGTAAAAGCTAGTAAGCCATATAAGAAATAACAACTTTAATTGATACACGGTAATGATATTAAAAAAAATATGTATATAATTCATACATTTTTTAAAGCACTATTCCAAATTCAAATAAGGAAAGGTAAGGAAGAGAAAAAAAAACAATATCGACAATTTGAACTTTCCCGTCTTTCGGTGGGAAACCAACCACCCTGTCCGGCAAATTTAATACCATTACAGTCAGAATACCTATACTTAATATTTCTCATTAATACGATTTGTATGGTAACGTTTAACGTAGTCATTTATAAATCGTAAGTAAATAAATCTCTAGTACATTTTAGAGTAGAATGCGAATAGCTTTAGAGAGAATAACGATGTGTACCTACATGTCTTAATGGGACAATAAAGAAGCTGGAAAAGTGGATGCTATATGAAAATTGGCAAAATAGTTGCTTGCCAAAACGTATTAAAATTTATGTGAACTAAAATATTACGGCTTTACGATTGAAATTTGGTGACTTTCTAATTATTATTATCTGCAATGATATGATATCATATATATTTTCATTTGATCAATGAATATAACATTATAATAATAATATGGAAATTGCGAAACTATTTTCTGTTTTACGCTGGTTAGATACATTAAGAAAAATATTAATTACGCTTTAACATTTACTGAAGTTAAACTAAACCATATTTTGTTTTATTATTGGAATACTACATAACTGTAATAAAATGTTCTTGCAATGTTTGATTAGAAAAAAATAGATGACAAACTATTAATCCCGGATATGCTAGATAACGTTTGGAATCATAAAAAAATTACAGGCGTTTGATAACCTTTCTTGTAGTAATTTAATATTACATGATGTATGCATGTATATATTTACTTAATTATAGTTCTTTAATCATTCTTATCTATCTATATTAAAAAGAACTATTGATTGCTATGTCTAATTAAATGATATAAAAATAAAGTTTGTATATGTATTATACTATTAATCTTAATTGAATTTAGGAAACATAGTTTTTGATTGCATATACGAGTATAAGTGAGATTGAATTAAAATCATTTATTATTGTTTTATCCTCGTTACATAAATTTCACAAAATGATATTGGATCACCAGCAATAGTATTTAAATACCATAATAGCAGTGAAGGAATTTAACCTATATAAAATTACAGAAATTGTGAGTAGTAAAGCGTTTGAATTTCGAATTTAGCCGTATGATTATATGCTTAGTAACGCATAAGGTGTATGGTAAACAAAAAGCTGTTACACCGAGAATAAATCCTGATGTATAATAGAAAGCAACAATTAAACTACACATCAAACTACAGAAACAGTAAGAATTATGGAATCCGTATGTACTTGCATAAAGGGTTAACTTTAAAATTGCCATCGGTTGCGTAGTGACGCGGAGAAGTATGGTAAACATAAAGTAGATATATCCGCAACGAAGCCTTATAATAGAAAACAAACATTACAATCGATTGAAAGCCGCCAACACAACTCTGACTAGCAGTTACACAAAATGTCTATAATCCATGATACGACTTTGTTATACCTTAAAGTAAGCGAACCGGGAATTTTTCGATGAAATAAAAATATATTGGCGGTGCAATCGATCCACCACACAAACCATTAAACTTTAAGCGTGCCGATAGAAAATATCGGAAACAGCAACTGGGACAAAGCGAAATATTCCTTTGAAAACTACTCGGCCAGACTTCATTTGTGTACCTCTCAAGTTTTATTTGAATTTTCCCCGTTTGATAACTGCAGTTGCTTTGCCATGAATGTTTGCATAAACTTGTTCTTGCTTAATCATTAGAGAAGGGTAATGAGACGAGAACATAAACCATTCAAATAAATATGGAAGCACAGACACATATCTAAAACTAATACTTTGAGTTTTGCAAGCTATTCTAGTGTTATCAAATTTAAGGTTACATTTTATTGTAGTTGTTTTAAAAGTTACTGAACAATAATTGCTTTAAAGGTTTCTTCATTTACTAATCTCAGTTCATATTAATTAATCGTACTTGAGTGAATGGGCGAACATCTCATTGTACTTTTAATGTGTATATTTTTCTTGGACTATAACTACTATATTGTATGAGTTCTATGAAACTTTTATGAGATATTATAGAACTTATAGAATAATACACGTGTCCTATAAATATACCTAGTTAGGTATAATAAAAATCTGTTGTTTATAATTTGTAGCCATAAGATTCATTAAGAGAAAATGAATATACATAAATACTCGTATTTTGCATAGAGTACAATATATGGTACATTAATAGACGACATTTTCATTAATTAATCCGCGTAACATATTATTTTAATTGGCATGTTTTACAAAAACCGTTCTTGTGTCGCTGAAAATCATGTTGTAAATCATTTCCCTGAATTACGAGAGCATGAAATTTATTACTTTAGCGTCCGCTTGCAAATTTTCATCATAGAGTAATTTTCTACACAATACAGATTTATTTACGACATTTCGGTCTTTTGCGCTCAAATTGGTATTCAAGATTGTTATTATTATAAATGTATATATTATAATACATTGAAGTTTAAAGACGATCTTGGAAATGTAAAGAAAATATAAATATACAGTTCGTCACAAAACTATAGCAGACCGAAAAACACAGGTTTTATTCATTACGCTGACCAAATTTATTCAAGGAACTTAATGCCAAATATGAAAATAATATTCCGACTGTCCATAATTGTACGGGTTTGAAAAAATTTACACTTTTTCTTTATTTGGCGTATCGTTTACGTTTCTATGGAAGAAGTTGTCTATTAACCAGAAACTCAGTAGGTAATAGTGAAAATAAAAGCTTCAAAAGACTTCTTCTGCTAGAACGTTGATTTTTATTTTTAGTGAACTAATTAATACTATGTAATGACAAGCTTCTGACTACCCTATATGGATTACAGACTGGCAGTATATTATTGGATTCTATGCTATTCCATTGTGTAAGTACTATATACATATTGTGATGCACGTAATATATATCTTATTTACTTATTATTATTATATAACAATATTGGCCCATTTTATAAATACCCTAAGGACTAATGTATATAGAAAACACTAAAGCGTAAAATTATGTACATGGGTACATAATTTGAGATGAGATATGGCAGTGAAATACCGGTATAACTATGGAGTTATACCGGTATTTCACTGCCATATCTCATCTCCCAAATTAGGAAAATAGACTCACTGATTGCAAAGCAACCACTTAGCTGTAGAAATACGAGAAATTTTTAACCATACAAATGGAATATAATAATCAAGTAACACATTAATAAAGGTGTAATTTATACACATAAACAGATAAACAAAAATATATCTTATAATACTCTTTATAATTATTATAAGGTATAATTAGAAAAATAAATAACTTTCAAAGCGATGATTGTCTTCATTATTATAATTATAGAAAATTGTACAGCGTATATCTTATAAGACCTGAAAATTGAAAGTAATTTCAGGTGACTTCATAAAATTGTTTCATTTAATTTACAAAATCTCCCTGGCGATTTGCTAGTTAATTAAGAAACAAATCATTAAAATCGCTTTGAATTTCAAATTTGCCAGAGGTCGTTCTCGATAATTGTATTACTGTTTACAGACGTGAATTAGAGCAGATGTACCTACCTATACATTTTAAGATGAGCCATAATACTTTTTATTTTATATATAATAAAACTTTATATTGATA